CGTGATGTGGCATTTATAGATTTTTCTATCTCCCAGTTTCACTAAAAATGTAGTCTGTGATATGTTCCCAATTGTCTTTACTGTTCTGTAGGTTTTCCAGGAGGAGAGGTAGCAAGATTGCCACCATACTCCTACCAGTACTTAAAGACCTTTTCCATTTGTCATTTTCCTTCCATGCATACAAGAAAGCTAATCTACAATCTAAAAAAAATTCTTGGGGACGCGGGTTCGTGCCCCCGTCCAGGAGGATCCCACATGCCGTGGAGAGGCTGGGCCCATGAGCCATGGCCGCTGGGTCTGCCGTCCAGAGCCTGTGGTCCGTGGCGGGAGAGGCCACAGCAGTGAGAGGCCTACGTACTGAAAAAAAAAAAAAAAAAAAATCTCCACATCAAGCCAAATTAGCCTATTTGGCCATAATGCTTACCTCATAAGACATGTCAGAAGAGCCCAGGAGTCAAGTCATTAAGACCAAGCTCCTCCTTTCACTATGAGTACAGAGGTCAAGATAGGTAATGAGATTTTGTCCAGGGCTAACCAACAGAGATAAAACAAGAAAACTCAAGCTCCTTCCAATGTATTACAGAGACTCCTTTGAGAGGAATAGTCAGTACTCCTGAGTTTTCAAATGGTTTATAAAGGCCCATTATCATGCAGACCCAGGAACAGGCGTGGCAGCCAAATTATACCAGGCCAGTTATCAAAATCCCGAGAAAACGTGCAACCTGATAGATAAATGAATAAATAATAATTCGTTGTAGGTAAGGAAAGATGACAGCAGAAAGTCCTAGCTGGGGAAGGATGTAGAAGGAAGTTGGAATCTGGCCAATTTTTAAATACAGTCTTGGTCCTGTATATCCAATCACCAAATAACTCAGGGACTGGGTTTTCCTTTTAGTTGCACCATCAGAACAGAATTTTCAAACACACACTCTTCTTTTCAACTACCCATTTCCACTCCCACTGATGCCTGCCATGTATCTTCATCCCTGATTCTCCTAACCTCATCATCACATGGTCCAATAACCACCCCCCTGCCCTTGCTATGTGCATATCGAATTCTGCACTCAAAACAAACTAGTCTAAGTGACAATGGGAGCGAACAATTTCAAAGATCATTTCTTTCATTCTAAAGTTCTCTCACTGACTCTGTGAAAAGCTTCTATAAGGAAGTGCCGATTAATAACCTACAGCTTTGATTTTAAGTGCTACATTAGTAATTTGAAAGAGTCATAACTCAGGAAACATCTAAGAAACCCAGAAAAGAATTCATGCTTAAAAACAACTGATCTAACCATGAAAAGACTGCATTTATTTCTTGAGGAATCTGGATCTGCATTAAGATGCACGTTTGATTTGAAACTGGTCTTCTTCTGCCACCAAGTGTTAGCACACACTTCTAACCAACCAGTTTCTGCAACGTTCAAATCACAGAAATACGTCACTCAATGTGAATAAATCCAAAAGAATGCACTGTAAAAAAGCACTGACCTAAACAAGTAGTAGTCTAACCATGTGAAACAAATATACTCTAAAGAAATTACACAAATAAATAAATTTTAGCTACTCTTTCAGAGACAGAGCAATTTAATAAGGTTTTCTGAGGCTTCATTCATTTGATTTAAAAAACTACAACTTTGAAAGCACAGTGAGAGTCAAAATAGCTTTACGATACACAAAACTACTTTCAAGGGAATTCCCTGGTGGTCCAGTGGTTAGGACTCCATGCTTTCACAGCTGAGGGCATGGGTTGAATCCCTGGTCAAGGAACTAAGATCCTGTAAGCCGCATGGCGCAGCCAAAAAAATAAATAAACTAGATTTAATACTCCCTTAGGTGATATATTCCACTAGAATTTTATGAAACTAAGAAGATGTAAAAATTAACACATTGACTAAATGCCTCCTGGTGTTAGAAAAATATATAATTATCCAAAAAAGTCTTATGTTTCCCAGAATCTCGAACTTAGTTCTCTAGCTTGGGAACCAGAATACCACGCTGTAGCAGAGGAAGTTCCATATCAAGAAATTTGAAGGAGAGTCTCTATATATGTTGGTAGTGTACAGGAAAAGGTCATGAGGATATACTAGTAGTGGTACCTAAGAGAGCGAAATTATAATGGGAGGAAGGGAGTGGGAGATTGGTGATGAGGGAAAAAAATGTATCTTTCAATCTGTAGATTTGTATGTATCAATATTTAGATTTTTTACAGTGAGCATATATTCATCTAGCACTTCTGTAATTAAAATAACTTTTTTTTTTTTTTTTTTGCAGTACGCGGGCCTCTCACTGTTGTGGCCTCTCCCGTTGCGGAGCACAGGCTCCGGACGCGCAGGCTCAGCGGCCATGGCTCACGGGCCCAGCCGCTCCGCGGCATGTGGGATCTTCCCGGACCGGGGCACAAACCCGTGTCCCCTGCATCGGCAGGCGGACTCTCAATCACTGCGCCACCAGGGAAGCCCTAAAATAACTTTTAAAATAACAAGTACTTGAAATGAGACAAACTTCCTAGTATGAGTGAAAAAAAGTATTCCACACCCCTCTCTCTCTCTCCCCCCTTTTTTATTTCATTATCAATCTTAAGTAAACTGAATGCTGGTAATAGTCATTCACTAAATAACTAATTCACTAAATAGTCATTGACTAAATTAGTCAATTCCACTATTGACTTTATCAATGGTCTGTCTCACCCTTGTAAATGAGTGGACCCAGAATGAAAACCTAGAAGAGAATTAGTGCTGAGAGAGGAAAACAGACAGCTGGAAATGTAAAAAAAAAAGTTAAGAAACTAAAGAGTCACATATTTTAAAATAATCTACATTCCAAACCACAAAGCATAATAAAAATCTACTGATATGTATGCCACCTTCTGGATCAGAAGCCCTGTCACACACACTGAATGAAAGCCAAGGTCTTAGGTCCAATTCCAGATCTGAACTTAGAGAATGGAAATCTGCAGCTTCAACAAGTACACCAGGTGACTCATGGATCCCAAAGTTTAAGACATATTTTCTTAAGCATTCAGAAACACTAACCATCATAATAGTAAATAGGAACAGACTGATTCCACAAATTAAAAGCAAGTATTCTTATTTGGCTTCCTGAAAGACAGTTAAGATCTTAGTTTATTTTCCAAAGATTAACATTCTAATCAAAACAAAACGCAACCGGATTTAGATTTTATACAGGCTTCAAGCAGGGACTGTTTCTATTTTGATCATCACTCTATGCCCAGCACCCAATGTCTGACACATAGTAGGCACTTGATAAATAGTTGTTGAATTAGTAGGATTCGGACCAAGGAGCTCCCCACGTAGAGAATTGAAACTGGATGGACAGGATTTGGCAAGTGGGAGGGAAGAAGATGAGACTGAGAATGAGGTAAGAGGGATTCTGGATGGGGCTCTGCAACTGAGGACGATGTGATCTCATTTCAGTCACTTAACTTCTAAGTCTCAGATCCCTTTTCTATAAAGGAGCAGATTCTGTGAAATCAACTGCCAAGAAATCATTTAAAACGCATGCAGTCTGAAATGTTGAAATACAAATTCTAGAGTTAATTTAAACATCCCTTTGATAAACGTCCTTCGGTGTTCTCATTTCAAAGTTAATATTATAAAGACAGAAACATTTTGAAATGTGGGTATTACCTTCACCACTGATTGTCATTCTGTGATTAAGTTTGATACCACTGGGAAGAGGACAATCCATTTGAAAGCAAAACAAGAAAGATAATGAGTAAAAAAAGTAAACTGTCAGTCTACAGGTTTTGTCAGTTGTTATCATTCCTAATTCCCAAATCTATGATTTACACAAATGATTTTACCTAAATATTCTGGAATGGTACCTAATATAGTTATTATTTAATTTGGGCATAGCTATTTTAAAAAAACATGCAAGATATTGCGGGGGGGATTTTTCACAATAGTTTGTAGAAAACTCATAACCACAGGATGGTCAACCACCCAAACACATGTTTTTACAGGACCAAAAAGACTTTCTGAGCACAGAGACATTAAATACAAACTGTTGAATTTAGAAAAAAGATCTACTTACTAATAAACATGACCTTCATTTATAGAGCTGCAAATCAGTCTTAACTACAGCAAAGAGTCATGGAGAGCAGGAACGAATACTAATCTGCATGCCCATCTCCAAAACTCTGGTACATCAGAGCAGGTCAGCAGATGTCTTAATTTGCATGAGAACCTCCCTAGGCTGAAATGGGAAAAAAAAAGGAAGGGTGCCCTTAGGATTCCAAGCAAACTGCTCGTGACTCCAGAGAAAATTCCAAAGTCACTCCAACCTCTGAGAGAGGAGGCAGTGGCCTAGGAAGGCAGAAAGTCACCCTGAGATAGGGGAAGTCAACAGACATGTCCCCTGGCTGTGGCACTGCTGACCATTCTCAGGGAGAAGTAATTTTAAGTACTGAGCTGGGCAGTGGGGAGCCCTTCTGTTACCCTCTTACCCAGTCCCTGGAACACCTGTTCCACACCCTCAATGGAGACAACTGCTGAAACAGCAAGGTGGCTTTCTGGAAACCTTGAAAGAGCTATGTAAAAGGGGGGCGGAGCTTGTCCCACCTTGAAGAACCCAGCCTCAGGAAGCAGCCCCAGTGTATGCAGGCCAGTGGAGAAAGCTCTGAGCACAGCAGGCTGCAAAGAACCAGAAGCAAAGAACGCAGCAAAATACAACTCTGGCACCGCCCCCAAGGCTTTTCAAGGGATGAAGCAGATATGGCAACAGATGAAGCAACTATAAGTGATGGTCAGAGTGTGAGGCTAATAGCCACGGTGGCAAAGGAGGGGACAGCTGCCATGGCCTCCATGGAGGCTCTTGAGACAACTCAGCATCCTTGGGAACTGGAACCAGACTGACTTGGAATTCCAGGAGCAATAGTGGCAGGGGTGCCTAAAAGCACTACAAATGCCCCTCATGCCCCAACCATGCTGAGGGCTGGTGTGGCTAACAAAACAGGGCTTATAGGAAAAATGTCCACTGACCTTCCTCCGGAGCCATGGTGCTTTGGACAATTTCATGAAGGTCAAATGAGGCTTAAAAGGTCTGCTTTCTCCTGCCAAGATACCTTTTTCTTGAAATGTCCTTTTTGCAGCATCTGAAGAAAATAAAAAGCACAAAAATGTTACCATATGATAACCATAGGAGACAAGAATCTAAAAAAGTGGATATTTGTATATGTATAACTGAATCACTTTGCTGTACACCTGAAACTATCACATTGTAAATCAACTATTCTCCAATAAAATTAAAATTTAAAAAAAATGCTACTATAACACATGGCAGTCTTTAATCATAAAAATGGCATTTCAAAAGATAACAAATTATCTTATAAGGAAGATTATAAACCGGTTTGAGATTTTTTTTAAGAGAGGAAAAAACACAACATGTATGATAACTAACGCATTATGACAGTTAAATCTGCAGTGATGTCAAACTTTCGGTAAAGCACACAAAAGCCACAATTTGACAATGAAACATTTAATAAATAAAATAGCTCTTGGCTGATATGATGCAGATTTCACACAATATCCCAGTGGTGTCCATATGTATAAAAAAGGACTAGCTTATCTGTAAACCCTCACATCTAAAACTTCTGCTTCTAACCAAGACAGAATAACAGAAATCGGATTTACCCTCCCATCTAAAACAACCAAAAAAAGGAGAAAGTATACGAAACAATGGTTTGCAAGACACTGTACACCAGGCAATGAAGGTCGGTGATCCCTCAGAGATGAGAAACAGACAAGGTAAGCCCTACAATTGTCCAGCTTACGTCCCTGGGTGTCTAGGTCTCTGCTCAAGGAAGAGAAACCCAGGTGGAGCCCAGTCATCACACTAGGTTCAGAAAAGAGAGCAGAGAGTAGAAAAGACCAAGGCATCTGGAGCTCATGGGACAGAGTGCCAGAGAAGTGAGTCCTGCAGAGAGAAAACTGCAGATATCCGCAAAGGGTCCCCCTAGTGGATTCAGCTAAGCCACTGACCAGCACGTGTGTGTGTGCAAACTACCAGAGGCTGGAAAACACACTCCAAAGGATTAGAGAGAACATGCCCAGCTGTCACCCAGGGTTAGGAATTCTGTTCCCATCAGCCAAACTGGAAAACCTCAAGATTCATGGGACACTGGGCAGAGTAATCTAAGGGTCTTGCCTCAGTGGAGAGGAAAAATTAGCTCTGGCCTGATACTGCTCTAGTCCCACCTAACAAATCTTAGAAGCAAGATGACAAAGGAAAAACCTATTTCCAAGTAATTTAATTATGTCCCAGAACCAAGCCCAGGAATAATTTGAGTAAAACAAATTATCCAACACCCAACAAGGTAAAATTTATAATGCCTGATATCTAATCAAAAATGACCAGGGGGGGCTTCCCTGGTGGCACAGTGGTTGAGAGTCCGCCTGCCGATGCAGGGGACACGGGTTCGTGCCTTGGTCCGGGAGGATCCCACATGCTGCGGAGTGGCTGGGCCCGTGAGCCATGGCTGCTGAGCCTGTGCTCCGCAACGGGAGAGGCCACAACAGGGAGAGGCCCGCATACCGCAAAAAAAAAAAAAAAATGCCGGGGGGGCTTCCCTGGTGGCCCAGTGGTTGAGAGTCCGCCTGCCGATGCAGGGGACACGGGGTCGTGCCTTGGTCCGGGAGGATCCCACATGCTGCGGAGTGGCTGGGCCCGTGAGCCATGGCTGCTGAGCCTGTGCTCCGCAACGGGAGAGGCCACAACAGGGAGAGGCCCGCATACCGCAAAAAAAAAAAAAAAATGCCGGGGGGGCTTCCCTGGTGGCCCAGTGGTTGAGAGTCCGCCTGCCGATGCAGGGGACACGGGGTCGTGCCTTGGTCCGGGAGGATCCCACATGCTGCGGAGTGGCTGGGCCCGTGAGCCATGGCTGCTGAGCCTGTGCTCCGCAACGGGAGAGGCCACAACAGGGAGAGGCCCGCATACCGCAAAAAAAAAAAAAAAATGCCGGGGGGGCTTCCCTGGTGGCCCAGTGGTTGAGAGTCCGCCTGCCGATGCAGGGGACACGGGGTCGTGCCTTGGTCCGGGAGGATCCCACATGCTGCGGAGTGGCTGGGCCCGTGAGCCATGGCTGCTGAGCCTGTGCTCCGCAACGGGAGAGGCCACAACAGGGAGAGGCCCGCATACCGCAAAAAAAAAAAAAAAATGCCGGGGGGGCTTCCCTGGTGGCCCAGTGGTTGAGAGTCCGCCTGCCGATGCAGGGGACACGGGGTCGTGCCTTGGTCCGGGAGGATCCCACATGCTGCGGAGTGGCTGGGCCCGTGAGCCATGGCTGCTGAGCCTGTGCTCCGCAACGGGAGAGGCCACAACAGGGAGAGGCCCGCATACCGCAAAAAAAAAAAAAAAAAAAAAACATGACCAGGCATATAAACAAACAGGAAAATATGAGCCACAATGAGAAGATAACTTAATTCATCAAAAGTGACCCAGAACTAACACAGATGTTAGAATTAGCAGATAAGGGCTTCAAAGTAGTTATTATAACTGTATTCTTTCTGTTCAGAAAGTTAAGTTCAGACATGCAAACTATAAAAAAAAAGACCCAAATTAAGTTTATAGAGATTAAAACTGCAAGGTCTGAGAAAAATAAACTGGATGGAATTAAGAACAGATTAGACACTGCAGAACAAAAAATTAGTGAACTTGAAGACATTAACAATAAAAACCACCCAAAATAAAACAGAGAAGAAAAAGAAATAAGAAAAAAAAAAAAGGAACAGAATATCAGTAAGCTGTGAGGCAACTTAGGTTGCCAAATATATGTATAAGTGGAGTCCCTGAAAAAGAGGCAAGAGAGAAAGAGATAAGAGAAGATTCCTGAAGAACTAATGGCTGTTAGGGAATGAGAGCTATACCACAACCACAATGGGAAATAATCTGGGCAGTTAACTGTTGAAACTTAAGCTACACAAGCATTTTGAACCAGTAATTCCAATATTAGGAAAATACACAAAAATAAATAAAAGTACCAATACATAAGATTCTATATAGAAGATACTTAGCATTGTTTGAATTATCACAAACTGGAAATAACCTTCATCAATAACGAAATGGTTGTTAAATTACCATAGGGCCATACTAAGAACTATCATAATGAAAAGAATGAATTAGAGCTACATATATTGACCTGAAAAGACATCAATGATATCTATTAAGCAAAAACAGGCAAGTTACATGGTTACTATATCCATAACATAATTTCATGGTTTAAAAGAGAGAGAAAGAAAGAAAATAAATGCTAAATATTTATGTTTTTATTAGCATAGAAAAATAGCATAGAATACCTTAGAATGGAGGTTGAGATTGAATAGAGGCAGAAGAGAATAGTACTGTTTTCTTTATACATATTTATATTGTTTGAATGATTACAATGAGCATGTATTACTTTTGAATAACAGGTTTAAAAATAAGCACAATAACAAACTGACGTTAGCAATATAACATTGCTACGAGTGCACAAGCATCATAGTAGAATGCACAAATAGGAGATTCCTTTGCCACACATGTGAAAAATCCATCCCTTTCAAGGACCTTTGGTAAACAACTTTTCATTTGGTCTTTTTACCTTAAAATCAGGGCTAATACAAAAGTCAACTTTAAAGATAAGAAAACTGAAACATAAGATGTTCAAGGTCACACTCCTTGTTAGCAGTTAAGAAGGAACTGTGATCCACGTGCCCTAACTTCTACCCTTGTCATCTTCAAGCTGGCTGAAACCCCAGCTTGAACCCTGGGAGTAAGGAAGGGCACAGAAGTTGCCTCAACAACTCAATGAGGAAGAGGAAGGCAGGGGATTCTGCCGCCTTCCACCATGCCCACACACATTGGTTTCAGTCAGAGAAGTTCCCCTGTTTTACACACTGAGCTTCTGAGTACCATTTCATTTTTTTAAAGGATTCCAATATTTATCAAAAAGAAAGTTTGAAAAGCAATGATCAAAAAACTTATATAGGGTTCCTTCAGTAGCAATAATCCCACCAATAATGTAAAAAAAAAAAAAAGAAACTGGTAAAATACACAGAATATACCTTTGAATATCAAATATTCAAATATACCTTTGAATATCAAATAAGACTATATTCAATCTATTTTTAAAATATATTTATTTATTTATTTGGCTGTGCTGGGTCTTAGTTGTGGCATTCAGGATCTTTAGTTGCAGCATGTGGGATCGAACCCAGGCCCCCTGCATTGGGAGTGCAGAGTTCTAACAGCTGGACCACCAGGGAAGTCCCCACATTCAATCTAAATGTTCAGTGACAAGTCACTAGAGAAATACAAATCAAAACCACCATGAGGTATCACCTCACACTGGTCAGAATGGCCATAATCAAAAAATCTACAAACAATAAATGCTGGAGAGAGTGTGGAGAAAAGGGAACCCTCCTGCACTGTTGGTGGGAATGTAAATTGATAGAGCCACTATGGAGAACAGTATGGAGGTTCCTTAAAAAACTAAAAATAGAACTACCATATGACCCAGCAATCCCACTACTGGGGATATACCCTGAGAAAACCATAATTCAAAAAGAGACATGTACCACAATGTTCATTGCAGCTCTATTTACAGTAGCCAGGACATGAAATCAACCTAAGTGTCCACTGAAAGATGAATAAAGAAGAGGTGGCACATATATACAATGGAATATTAATCGGCCATAAAAAGGAATGAAACTGAGTTATTTGTAATGAGGTGGATGGACCTAGAGTCTGTCATACAGAGTGAAGTAAGTCAGAAAGAGAAAAACAAATACCGTATGCTAATGCACATATATGGAATCTAAAAATACAGCACTGATGAACCTAGTGGCAGGGCAGGAATAAAGATGCAGATGTGGAGAAGGGACTTGAGAACACAAACGGGGAACGGTAAGCTGGGACAAAGTGAGAGAGTGACATGGACATATGTACACTACCAAATGTAAAATAGATAGCTAGTGGGAAGCAGCCACATAGCACAGGGAGATCGGCTCGGTGCTTTGTGACGACATAGAGGGGTGGGATAGGGAGGGTGGGAGGGAGGCTCAAGAGGGAGGCGATGTGGGGATATATGTATAAATGTATACTTATAGCTGATTCACTTTG